ACACACACACACACATACACACACAATCACACACACAAAACTTGCGATTGGTTCGATGAAAATTACTAGAACAGTCACGTTAATGCGAATTAAATTCCTATAGGGGAGATAGACTGGATAATCGAATAACTTTTTCCAACGTTTTGTTTCCAGCATAGCGCAGTGGTTAATAAACAAGTTAATTAATAAGCGGAACGTCGACAAAGTCTGACAAAGAGAAGATAGACGATAAAACGAAGATAAAACGCAATTGAGGACCTTCTGCGATAGGAATTTGTTTGGCGTTGTACATATACTTCGAAAAACCCAAACGCGAGAGCGTGAGTTACGGCGCGGTACAAAAATTTTTGCTCCCCCCCCCTCCCTCCTCCACCCAAGCAAAGTTGATCTACGAGCTCGGTGGTTTATGGTTGGTTAGGGGTGATTAAGAGTTGCCATACGATGATCCGGGATATGCGAAAAAAAAAACCAGTACCTATCATATATCCATTAAAAATATATTAATTTATTCTCCAGACTACGCCGGCGTTCAGTCATTGCATTCCCACGCACGTCGTCCCCTTCCCCCATTCCCCCTTTATCGCGTCTGAAGAAAGCAACGCGACAGGATAAGACGGACGACCGGGGGCAGCGTAAGTATAAAATTAAATTAATTTGAGCTTGTTATTTCAGTAAATTAATTAAGAATTTTTCTTATCGAGGAATGCGTTTTCTCGCAAGGCATCCCTTCGTGTTCTTTAATCGAATAGAATAATTCGGGATAATACCAAATTAATTTGAGCTTATTAATTACGCGACACGAGTCTGTTATTTCAGTAAATTAATTGTGAATTTTTTTGTTTATTAGAGACAACTTTCTCACACAAGGTATGTCGTCTTCGTGTTCTTTAGTTGAAATAGAATTTAGAATAATTTCAGAATGACTATATAATCAATTTAGATCAATTGATTTGACGTAAGTAAATTGCAGTGTGTTGATGCAATTCGCGATTCGGAATTAGGATCGAGCTTTATTAAAAGTTTTGCAGCTGGTCGCCGAAACTCAGTGTTGAGCGTTTAAAATGTGAGGGAACACGACATATCCAATTTTCACCGGGCGAAAGTCAATTCCAAGTTTACCGAAGAAATAAATCGCGCTTGCAGCGCGGATATTTATGTAAATTCGCGCGGGTGCGATTTATGCTCGCCACGAGTCCGGGACGCTCTCTCGCTCGAAAAGTCGAGAGCTTTTGTTCGTTTAACGTCGATGCGACGATGTAGGGGGTGGGGGGGGGAGAAGGAAGGAGACCGACGCGCGGAATAATAACGATGTACGACAATGCGGCCGCTGTCGGCGTCGCGTGGCGAACAATGAGCCGCGCATAAATCATAGACATCGGTGTAACATCGCTTCCGCTGTTATATTCGCAATTGCAACGCTATTTATATTCGGCGCAGTTAAAAATATTGCGATTCCCTTAAGCCTCTCCGACGCGCACTTTCCGAGTGTTTTCAATGAGATCTCACGGCGCGTACCGCTCTCACTTACAACCTATAAATTATGCAATTCCGTGAAATATTGAAGAGCTGACAGGACGATGATATTATATAAGAGAATTTATGTTGTTAATTAATTATTACGGTTCTAAACTTAGAATAATGAATGGCAAAAATTTCAAAATTGCATATTCCGATACAATGAAAGATCAACGGATTTATTGCTTCGATTTAACATGTCTATCATATTTTTAGACGAACATTTACTTACGATATTGAATTTTGTTTCTCGAACTTCAGGCACTTCTAAATTATTACTCTCTAAATTATTGCTCTCGCTTAAGATTTCCATGTAGACTTTTATATGCATAGCAATTATCTTTAACAACGATTTGGATTCGACAATAATCTTTGTAGCAAATTGATTATTATAAATCAATGCGCGCACATTAAGCTTCACTGCAGTGACAAGTTATCCACTAATTTGGATATAAAGAAAAACATGAGAAAATGTCTTAAACATCTACATAACACATAAGTTAATCCAAATAGCAATAAATATTTCAGCAATATTGCAGCAACGTTACAACATTGTAGTAAAATGTTGTAAAATTGCTGCAATATTGCTGAAATGTTTTGTGCCATATGGATACTGATCAATTTATAATTAAATACTTTTAAACATATTTTTACACGCCCAAAAAAATATTTTACAATTAATTATAAAGTGAAATTTTCTCTAGTCCCATATTCTATTAAGCGAAAACTTTTACAGAAAGATCAGTATTCCTCTTCCAATAAAGTGAACTGTTCATATAAAATCTATTAGATATTATTTTTCGGTTTTCTTCTTGTATTAAGAGGAATATGTTTATTTCAAGCGGAATGCCCTCTTACGTGTGATACGAGTAACACGAAAAGTAATGTGTATCGTTGCGTTCTGCCGTGACGATTGATTGAAGTGTTGCATTGCATTTGCGAAAACAGACGCAGCAAGGCTGCGTTTTGTTTTTCATTGCAAATACTGAAAAACCTACAGTATAAATAATGTGAATTATAAATATAGATTTACAGTACAAGACTTGTACTGTAAATGCAAAACGAAATTATTCCAACTATTAGAATATTGTGCACAGAATATTTTCCTCTTAATTTCAGAGGATTCCTCTTGAGGCCATGTACAAGAATAAAATCCTTTAAGATTTAGCGGATTCCAATATTAAAATTATTTATTTTTTTTTGTGTATAATCAAATATATTTGAAATAGAATATATTATATAAGATTCTTCAATTAAAACAATTAGTTAAAGAAAGGCACTTCGAGTCAATACGCAGAACTCGTTGCGTTAAAATTTCTCAAATTATATTCAATAAATTAATTGTGCAAATTAATTATGTAAGATGTAACTTAATTTATTGAATATAATTTTATGAAGAGAAATTTTAACGCAACGAGTTCTGCGTATTGATCCTTAGTGTCTTTCCCCAAATATATTTGATAAAATAAGTATATTATTTCAAGTTAAGTACATTATATTCCAAATAATTTGATTCCAACAATTAATTTCCTTGATTCTTGAAAAAGCGTATGTGAGAAAATTAAAAGTCAAAAGTGATCTCAATCTCATTTCTTTAAATAAAAGTAAAATGAATTCGCGATCGCGAGCAAGGGGACAGCGATCGTCGCTCGCAAAATGGCACTGCCACTTTAGCGAATATATAGAAATCGGCGGTTGTCGCGAGAACGACGAGGAAGAAATAAAAGGTGGGAGGAGGATACGACGTGGTGGATGGTAATACGCGTCGCGCGAAGACAATAAAGCGCGTCGCCGCTCGGGATTTATGTTACGATCAGCATTTACGCGAGCCGAGCGCACGCGCGCGCCCGCGCGACCGGGCGCCTCCACAAAGGGCCATTGTGCGATTGCGACGTGGCGCGCGGTTAATATTATTAGCCGTCCACGGAGGAGCAGCGCTTAAACGGCCGGATGCTTTCTGGCCCTCGCCCTCGCCTGAGGACTCTATTACCGGCCAATCCTCGCGGCAGCGGCGGCGGCGGCGGCGGCGGCTGCTGCCTCCTCTTCCTTGCTCACCGCTCACCAGTCCATTGTCGCCGGGCACGAACGGCATTACGTGTCCCTCCTTACCCTCCCCCCTCGCCCCGGCCTAGCGGAGCCCCCGAAGCGGCGCTTCCCGATCACCGAGGATGATCGTAATGTCCTGGTACGTCTAGGAAAGACGCGACCTAGCATCCCACTTATTGTTGGCTATAAAACTAAATCAAAGAAACTGAAAGATGCCAGGATCTATATTTCTTACAGAGGATCTTCTTATAATCTAAATTCCTTGATAATTGTGCCGATAAATCATGCGTGAGTTCAGTTCTTGCCGTTTATTTGAATTTTAGAATTTAATTCAAGAATTTTTTGTGTATATATAATATTTTATTATTTTGCGCATCAGCTCAATGTCTCTGATGTTTATAGTTTGGCTGGGTATTTTAAAATTTGAAATTTTTAACGCGAATATAAGATCGTCCTTGGTTCT